GATACAGTGGTGAATAATTGTTATCAGGACTTATTGCGAGGGTTGGAAATGTAAAGGTAGACGTTTTGTACTAAGGAAGGGAGTGATTAACTTTGCAGTCTAGGAGCAGAGGTCCCTGGGACCATCAAGGGAGAAGAGCAGGGAACGGGACCCTACCCAGAGAAGCAGTGACGCCAGAGATGGAGGCAGAGATGATGACATGGAGAGATGGAGTGGCTGGGGACTTTAGACCCAGAGAGGGAGAGAGGCTGTGTGCTGCAGACTTGCAGGGTATATCCTTTCGTTGGTTTATGATGCATGGAGGGGACTGTAACCATGGAAATGAAATGATATACGATAGGATGAATGTAAAATTAATGTTCCCCATGTAAACTATCCCATAATTCACACAAAGAACTTTAAAAAAAGGAAAGAAACCAAAAGAGACTTACAAAAATCAAAGAATATACCATGTTCCTGGATAAGAAGACTTAACATTGTGAAAATGTCAATACTACCCAAAGAAATCTACACATGTAATGCAACTCCAGTCCACATTCCAAAGACATTTTTCAGAGAGATGGAAAAAACAATTACAAACTTTAAATGGAAGGAAAACAGACCCAGGATAAGCAGAGCACTGCTTAAGAAGAAGAACAAAGTTAGAAGTCTCTCACTCCCTGATTTCAAAATTTACTACACGGCTACAGTGGTCAACAAAGTCTGGTACTGGTACAAGATATATAGATCAAAGGAACAGAATCGAGAATCCAGAACTTAACCCATCCATATACAGCTACCTGATATGCGAAAAATGGCCTAAGAACACAGTATGGGGAGTAAGTAGATAGTCCCTTCAACAGATGGTTCTGGCAGAACTGGAAATAGATATGCAAAAGATTGAAGCAAGACCTTTACCTCATGCCATATACAAAAACCAACTCAGCTTGGAATAAAGACCAAAATATGAATACCAGAATTATAAAGGTCATCAATGAAAATATAGGGACAAATTTGAGGGCTCTAAAATTTGGGCACACACAGACTACCAACCACTGCAAAAACTACACAAACAAAAGAAGACAAAATAGATTATTGTAACATACTAAACATTAGAAATTTATATACATCAAAGACTTCTCCAAAAGAGTTCAAAGGAGCCCACAGAATGGGAAAAATCTTTTGCAATGATGTATCAGACAAGGGAATAATTTCTAAAATCTATAGGAAACTAGAACATTTCTACAAGAAAAAGACAAATAACCCAATTAAAAACTGGGCACAGGACATGAA